TTCAGAGCGGCCGCGGGAGGGAACTTGCCCGCGGCCGCTCCGACACGCCCGCCGGGGCCTATGGAGAAAAATAGCAAAGCGATTTTTCCCCATAGGAAACATCGCAATGCGATCGCTTTTGCGATCGCAAAAAACGAATTGCTATGCGGATTTGTCGTTATACGGGGCACTCATTATGCAAGGCACCACTGTATACTGTTTTATATAAGATTTCCAGAAATGTATAGAGAGGTAAAGATATTGCTAGATAATTAAGTTTTAGAAGAATTACCAAGGATAAAAAAAGGAAGTAGGTACAGCTAAAAGAATACTTAATTAATTGTTAAGAGAGTTGGTTTTAAAGACAACCTTAATGAAAGAAGTGGGTATTGTACATTTGTATTAATTATCAAGAATCTGAAAACCTTGGGTGCTACCCAAACAAGCTAAGTAATAGCCAATCCAGTTACGTTAACCCATAGTTTTTCTCATTTTTCCACGTTGCATATGGGAACAATTAATAGCTATATCTCTATAGTGCAATTGTACAGTACTTTTTCCCTGCTGCTAGTATGCAAGCTAGTACTAAACCAAAGTATGGGAGTGGGATGCAATAGTCTGAAATAATCTCACATCAGCATTTCACCTGGGGTTGCTATAAAACTCACCCTGCATTTCTATCCATGTCTGCCATCAGATGAGCAGTAGAGTGGAACAGCTTAGGGGTGGGCCTTGCAGGACTTTTGTGCTAAATTGGTGTAACCAAGAAGCTCTTTGTAGATATACCATGACAACATAGTCCGGCAGAACTGTGCATTTCTTGAAAAATAACACTGTGCAGGCTTTCCATGTGATGGCTTTACATATGTGAGTGATCGGTAGAAGTATTCCTGCGATCTAAACAGACTTGGAACCTACTCCTATCTGTCTCTTTTACTGCTTGATTTAATGAAGCTTTTTAAGAATAGTTTCTAAAATTAGGGTTCTCATTGAGCAACTGGTGGTGCTAAGCAGAAAATATGAGAGTAAAAGGGGATGACAGCACATTTACTCAGCACTGAGATCTGAGAGAACAGGAGAAAGTCAGAAATGAAAATACAAGAGTAGCAGAAAATTAAGCTGTAGGACGGGTTCCCAAACTTTTTCACCCCGCAGACTGGCTGGGGAAGGCGTCCCCCCCGCACTCATGCGCATGCATGAACAAGCGCACGTTCTGTCACACACAAATGAGTGTGCGCTCATGTGCATATGCAAATGGTGGCACTTGTGCAGGCGCGCGCTCATGTGCATGCACAAACGGTGGTGTGGTGCACGGGCATGCTGGAGTGCATACACGAATCAGCAGTGTGGGGCCACGGCAGGAGGTCTGTCTCTGTGACCCAGTCCGGCTCACGCCATGGACTGGCACCGGGCCACTGACCGCAGGCTGGGGACCTCTGCTGTAGGACAAGATAGTATAATAGAGATACAAAAATGGTAGAAATTTACCCAACATGAAGCAAATGTATTCCTTCTAAAACTTTCATCAATCCCCCCCCCCCCGATTTTCCAGAGCAGGAAAGTTAAGCTGAATTGATGAAGACTGGGAAGGGGAGGATAAACCTAGAAAGACACTTACTCTTTTTAGAGACTGATTTTAACCCTAGGCCAGTGATGTTGAATCTTTTTGACCATGAGTGCCCAAACTGCCCTCCCCCCAGTGGGTGGTGGCGGTGGCAGCAGGAATCCCAGGCATGGAGGTGCCTGCAGACCCCACTCTGGATCCGCCTCCATTTGTGCCCAACCAACTACCTATAGTTCAGCTGGCCTGCTGCCACCAGCATCAGCTGTTCCAGATCCTGGTCTGAACCCTAGCACTACCTATAGTTCAGCTGGTCTGCTGCCGCCAGCATCAGCTGTTCCAGATCCTGGTCTGCCGCCTGTCGGGGCGCTGGCACTGCGGCTGCAGCCGCCTCCTCAGGTTTGGCTGCTTGGGGATAGCGATCCAGAGACTTATGGCTTGCATGCCCACAGAGAGGGCTCTGTGTACCAGCTGTGGCACGTGCACCATAGGTTTGCTATTGCTGCCCTAGGTCAAACTTTCTTAGAATAAAATCCAAATGCAAAAATCTTATCAGAGGATAGGATAACATTCCAAGCTCACAGAGTTGCTAGTTGCAGGAAGTGATAGACAATGTATCTTCTTCTCGTACTGGCCTGCTATTCTGTAGCTTTGCCATAGCTTTCTCAGCATAACCGTGTTTCATGTTTCTTGGGCTCAAAGTAGCCAAAACATTTAGCCCCCCAGAAAGTGTTGTTTCAATTCCATTCCTCTTTTATACTGTCACCAAATGAGACCTTTTTAATCATTCCTGAAGTTTCCCTCTGCACATGACAACATTCTTCTTCCCTGCCATATTTACCGAGAAGATTCAAAACACCTAGCATGCAAATAATTTGTCTGCATTTTCATAAGTACTGTATAATTAATCTTAGGAAGTTGCTATCTTAAAAAACGTTAACCCAGTTGAAAAAAAACACACCAAATATTTACTTCCCCTGTGGCATTTTACAAGCTTTTTTCAACTACAAGACCATGTGGTACAAGCTGTCTTCCATTTGGTTGTTCCATCCAACCAAGTGATTGTCAGTCCATAGAACTGACAATAAGTAGTTGCACCACAGTAAGTCCCTTTGCATTTTATATGCCACAGGACTCCTTGTCTGTCAGAGGAGAAATGTCATACATGTATATTTTCTGGACTTAAAGTACAAATATCAAACCAGCTTGAGCAAATGGTAAAAATGACTGAAAGCTCCTCTGTGGATACCACTATGGGAAGGTGAAATATTAGGGCACTACGGTACTAGTATCAAATTACAGTAGTTTCATTTGAGGAAATTCTTCTGTGTCTTGGTCTTTTATCTCATTCAGAGTAAGTAAAGTTACATTTTAGCTTGGTTGGAATATTTGTTATTAGATTGAATTTGCCTTTGTTAAATCATCACAAACGTTAACATGCAGAATGTAGGAGTAGTTTTTAAGAACCTATGGGTTGTGTGGAGAAAAGAGACCATGTGGAGCTTGTTCACACATGCCTGCATCTTGTTCATGCTTGCTAAAGAGAACATCTTTTGTGCCTCCCTGTTATAACTCCCCATGCTCAGAGTGTGGAGGTCTCTTTAAGAAAACACTAAGATTTGTAATGCTTCCTTATTAAATCAAGCCACATGATGGGCAGCAGTTCTCTATTACAATGTATAACAGTTTTATGTAAATAAAACTTCCTTGCCTGAACATACTTTGGCTGTGGATCAGAGCAAAGGCCCCCATAACCTCCATCCCTGTGGGCTGATGCTTTCTTTTCAGTGATGAAAACTATATTTCACTTTCCTGAAGTCAGAGTTAATCTATGCCATTTCTTTTGTAGTCTTTGCAAGTCATGTGCGTTTCTTTGTTTTAAATTAATAAAATCCTAAATCTGAGTTCAAGAATAACAGTTAACGGACTCTTTCAACAAAAAATTCAACCTCAAATTATTGCCATATGTTGCTTTTTTCTAAATCTTTGCTTAAAATGTGCTCACTGTTAGACCATGTTTGGCGATTTCTGCCGTTGTTACTGTGTTTCCCTGTTTCCCCCAATTCAGTGGATGTGGGGCCTCTGTTAAAGGGGGAGCTCTCCCAAACTATGTCACCACCTTGAGGTTTCATGGCATATGGCACTCATTTGTTCAATTTATGTTCTTGGGGCCACATAGGTTGTGAGGGGATAAGAGCTACTGAAATGTGTGTGGGTTAGAGGGCTCGGTATTTCCTCACACTTGTCACAGCACTTGCCACATATGGTTCTTGTGGAGACAAGGCAAGAATGAAAAGAAGCTGAGGTGCATTGATTAAAAAGTTTGAAAGAAGAGATGCAAGAACATATAGCATGGGGGGAAAAAGATCAGCCATATATTTAGGAAGAAAATGTGATTGTCGTTATTTTGGGTACACCAAGGTATTTGGAGATTGTCAAAAATTAGTAAATGTACATTGTGACCACTGAGCTAGTGGAAGATACGAACAGTGGGTAGGGACTCTTTCTCTTCTTAAAAAAATGAAGTAAAATCTGATCTAAGTAGTTCATTCTACACCAACATATTCTTTTAAAAAGTTTACTGCCTTTGCTTGTTCTGTTAGCCCTAGGAAATACATGGACTATGCAAAGTAGGCAAGTTACACACATAGATAGGCTAAAGATGAGAGCATGCAACAAAACGCTAGACACTGATATCCAGGATCTTTTATATGTTTCTATATTGGGAAAGCTTTCCATATTGTGCCTGGAACCAGATGCAGTGAAATTGCTAGACAAAGTCCTCTTTCTTTGTTAAACATGACTGATCTAATCATACAAACAAAAAAGAACTAATGCTAATTAATCTGCCTTAAGTGATTTTCTTTTCATTACTTGTATCCTTGTTAAATGTCCTAGAACTGAATAGATCTCTCTCTTAATGTACTCAAATATCCCAAAGAGTCTAATTAGAACTCCCCCTGTCTTTGAGAGGGGCCTTATCAGTGCTAATGGCTAATTGAAGTTGTATACGCGCATTTTCAAGTGGGCCTTAGAAAGCTTGTCTAACAACAAGGCCAGTGGAGGTGATGGCATTCCAGTTGAACTATTTAAAATCTTGAAAGATGATGCTGTTAAGGTGCTACATTCAATATGCCAGCAAGTTTGGAAAACGCAGCAGTGGCCAGAGAATTGGAAAAGATCAGTCTACATCCCAATCACAAAGAAAGGCAGTGCCAAAGAATGCTCCAACTACCGTACAATTGTACTCATTTCCCACGCTAGCAAGGTTAGGCTCACAATCCTACAAGGTTGGCTTCAGCAGTATGTGGACCGAGAACTCCCAGAAGTACAAGCTGGATTCCGAAGGGACAGAGGAACTAGCAACCAAATTTCTAACATGTGCTGGATTATGGAGAAAGCCAGAGAGTTCCAGAAAAATATCTACTTCTGCTTCATTGACTATGCAAAAGCCTTTGACTGTGTGGACCACAGCAAACTATGGCAAGTCCTTAAACAAATGGGAGTGCCTGACCACCTTGTCAATCTCTTGAGAAACCTGTATGTGGGACAGGAAGCAACAGTTAGAACTGGATATGGAACAACTGATTGGTTCAAAATTAGGAAAGGAGTACGACAAGGCTGTATATTGTCCCCCGGCTTATTTAACTTATATGCAGAATACATCATGCGGAAG